AATGGCTCTCTTATTGTTAATTGGCCGTTTAATCCCGAGGAATGCGTCTGATTAGTACCCGCCGGTGGGTCAGGATCTTGCTCAACACTCTCCTTCACAATGGACAGGCTGTAACAGAGATCTGGGAGCAGGCACACACACAATCACACACTCACACATGGACAAAGGTGTGCGCATAAACATTCAGAGTGCACAAGTCACACAAAGGAACACACAATCAAGCAGCAATACATGTGTGTGCAGACACGCGGGGCCACAGTGGCCTCACATACCCCCTGCGTTAACGCGCACAAAGTGACCACACATGTGCAGCAGTACACCCAGCATGCAACTGCACTGTAGCGAGGATAAGGATGCAGTAGGAGGATAAAATCATAATGAAGATTTTTCACTCCACCTCACCCTTGCATTTAGCTGCATTTGTATTTGTATGTGTTCGTTGCTAGCATTTTAGTATCAGAACCTAGCTAGCATGCTAGCTTGCTGACCAAAAGCAAAGCACATTTGGAAACACACAGTTACACCATCTATTCGACCAACGGACTATATGCCACACTACAAGGCTGTTGCACTGCCTTTTACTTTGCCAGTTAAGTATTTAATCAAATAGCATTAGCTAACAGCATAGCTTTCTCCATTTTGGACTCAGTGGGCGCCTCTTTAAAGGCCTAAAACATTAAGACCTGAAGGTGAAAATTCCCATTAAGTTGCACTCTGATTTACTTTGCTGCTGTTAAAGTAATCAACTGATTGTAGTCATTCCATTAAAATGAACAGAGTCTGTGCAAAGTTTAGCTGTGATAGATGCTGCTGAATGTTTGTTTTGGGGTCAGGGTTCAGGGTGATGCTTAGAGATCATAGTGCTTCACATATTTATTATATATTATATATAAAAAATAGAGTTTGAATTGAAAAAAAGAATTTAACAGCAGGAAGACATTTATATTTATTACCAGTAAGAGACGGACAGAGGAAATACACCGAAAAGAAGGGATGATGGGATGCTTAAACTGGCTGCAGGTAGATAGGCAGGGTCAGAGGTGACAAGGGTCTACGTGTATGTGCTTGCGCATGTGTGTCTAATTGTGTGTGTGTTCTGTAGGAGGTCCAGGCAGTCTGCATCACTGCTGACACACTGCTGCTGGTAAATCCAGCTTAGTGTGTCTAAAACAGGACTACGAAATCTGCCACAGGGCCCCTAATGCTAGGGCCGCTGTCACCCTCAATCACTCACACACACCTAATCCCCACGCCGTGACCCAACACACACACACACACACACATACACACACAGCCTGGCTACCCGATGCACTGGGCCCATTCAGCTTGGCAGGCAGTCCCAGTACCAGGAGACACCAGCCACAGGGTCAACATTGCATATTGGGGGATGGAGGAAGGGGGTGGTGGCGGTGAGGAAGGAGAATGTGGTGTGGAAGAGTAGGAGTTGGAGGACTTTAGGTGAAGAGGAGGTGAATAGGTGGAGGTAGTGGTCAAGGTGAGGCAAGAGCAGATAGAGGAGCAGAAATAGGACGCTGGCTGAGGTGGGTTGGGACTTGGGGAGGGACAACAAGGTTGGCACAGGAGAAATGGTATGAATGGAGGGGTGAGGTATAGGAGGAGAAGCACAGCCTAGGGGGGAGACAGAAGTATAAGGGATGTGAGGTGAGCTGCTGGAGTTCCCCAGGTATAAATAATGAATTATCTGAAATATATATTTTAACAAACAGCCGTGAATTTGCATCCACAGGTTCATGCATTCACACACATGCAACCTCACAAACACTTGACCTCCGTGGCAAATTTCACCTTTGGCCAACAAAGGGTGGGGACATTTTTGTGGGCCGACAGAGCGAGCTATAAAGCTGCCGGTTGCTGCTAAAACAGAGCAGGCCTCAGAGTCCCACTGAAGTAAATGAATGCAGATTCTGGGAGACCTGTCAGCCACCTTATGTTGTAAATAGTGATTCACATAGCACAAAGAGTGAGGCGATAAGAACTTGAAAGCAACTTCAATCTATATTTTTAATATGGTGACAATGTGAAAGGTATCGCTCGTAGTGGTGAACCTACAGAGAATGAATCTGCAGCTCGACCACCGCTCTCATAGCTTAGGTTCTGACTGCAGCAGGCTGCTCTTTTTAGCCAAAAAGCTCTAAAAGCCCACGGAAGCCCCTGCTCAGCACCCAACGGACAGCGTTAGCAACGGTTAGCGACTAGCTGGTGGACATAGTGGAGCATTTAGCAACAAAAGCCAGATATTTCCACCAAAAACAGAGAGCTTAAACAGATTGGATATTGGACTCTTAACGAATGATAGTGTTTCTCTGTAACTGCCTGAAGTGTAAATAAGCAAGTGGTTGCTAACAAGGTCAGCTCATCATCTTAAAAGGTTATTGCAGGTTTGAGTAAATGGTTTTAAATGATGAGTGTGGCCCAGTGTGTGTGAGACTACTTAACCCACGTAGGAGACAAAAGTGTGTGGTTTTAAAGTATAAGGGACTACTTTGAAACCTTTCTGAAATAACAGTAATTAGGGATTATTCCATGATCTGCCAATAATGGGGAATGTATATAATTATGTATTATTCTGATAATTAAATTAATAGTATAACCGATAAATTATTGATATTGTTGATAATAATAATAATTTATATATTATCATGCAAAACGTTAGATAGGATTTATGTTATATAAAAAGCCAAAGTATGGTTAGTACGTTTTTTGAGGAAAAAATACAGTTGAAGAGTTTGAACTGTTGTTTGTTGTTTTTAACAATAGTGATCAATAGTGATCGAGATTCAGTTCGGTCAGAGCTATGGAATATTAAATCCTCCATCTTTGCTCACAACATAGCCGTACTTGTTACTTGTTAGCCATACTTGTTGTGTTGTTATTTTTCCATTCATAAATGATCTGGTAACTTGGCAAATATAACAATCTCCAGAAAACATTCTTTCTTTATAACACCTAACAACAGGCCTTTTTCACAGCAGACAGATCAACAATGACTCTGTTCTATTCAAGTGTCCCAGTAAGCCATGGCAGTGTGACAGTGAGCCAGCATGCACAATACCAGGACCCTCAAACTGAAGCAGCTAAATGGAATTAATCATTCATTTTATTATTTAGACCTGTGCTGTACTGTGACGTGTCAAAATGTCTTCTGTGAAAAAGTTTATACCTCCTGTAAGGTTTGAGTCAGGAATGTAGACCCAGCTATAAAACAATTTACATACGTATTTATGTACGAGCCCGTGCTCTGATCACATGACCTGTATGAATGATTTAGCCGGCATGAACAACATACACTAGCCTACATACAACTTCATGACCACCAGTTTGATCCCTGTGACAACATGTTGACATGGTGCACTGATGAAACAGCAAAAGACTGATTTCTGGATCTATCTTCCATGTTTTCCTCCCTGCACTCATTCAGAGTGGATGCTGGTTGTTCCTAACAGTGGTTCTCCTTTTTGTGTTCTCCCAGGTTAACATGCGCACGCAGTGCCAGACATGAGGATGAAGAGACAAACATGGGACATGTCCAGCTTCAAGTCACCAGTTAAAACCAAATCTCTTTTTATTGTGTATTCAAAAGGCCAGTTTACTTGTTTCTGTGGGAAAACCTATATGTCAGGATGGATTTGTACCGTTTTATACACACTTTATTTCCTGTAAGGTAAAGTGAACACAGAGAAGAATTAAGTTAAGAGGCCTATCAGTGTAACTTAGAATCGTCTTGCACTAGCTTTAAAGAGACTAACGGGGCTCTTTGCTGCTCACACTGAAAATCACTAACACAAGCCTCTCAGCCTAAATCCTAATTTTGTCTGCAAACAAATTGACGATCCACTATTTAACAATCCCTCAGTCCCAGAAGGAAGTACGTGTTTATTTTAATGACTTTGCAATAGTATTCTTACCTTTTAAAATGAGTATCTATACCCCAATCACTATCACAAAGGCTGCTTAATAAGTCGTAAAACTGTATTTCATACAATGTCTAAAACCAATGTCTTACAGGTAAGTAAGAATGAAAAAACTGTTTTGTTGATGTTAAATAGATGAAATTGTTATAATGTTGTTTTTAAGTGCAATTAAGTTTTTGATGATCAAATTCTGTAAATCCACAGCATTTTCCTTTTCAATAAAGTAAAAGCAGACTTGCGTTGCTGTTCTCTGTCATTGTACCAGTTCATGTTTAAGTGTGAATGTGTGTGTGTCCAGAAATGCTTATACATTCAAACTGCGAGCTAACATTCAGTAATTGAATACGACAGTGATCCGCATCCTCAGATTGGTGGGTCACTGAGGTGGAAGCACACAGAGGCACACATAACAAGATGTCATGCCAGGATTTGGCTGTCTGACAAACACACACGCATGCACTCAATCTCCGAGGACTCGGAAGTGTAATTGTTTACAAGAGTCAAAATAGGTTTCCCCAAATAGAAAAGTACACACAGAATCACTGAATTCTGTTATGAAATACTTAAAGGTAGAAGCAGACGCAGCATTGCCATCTAGTGGTCATATACAGTAACCTACAGTACAGTGGACCTGCAATATGCATTTCAGTCTGATATCAACAATATCCATACTATCATTGTTGCTTAAATAACTGAACAGTGGCATTTGTGATACTGTTATATTAATTAATAGCTTATATTAATTATCCCTGTGTCAATATCGGTGACTGCACGCAGTACTGAGGCTGCCTCATCAACTCATTTTCAACTCCACAATATCATTTGCTGGAATAAGCTGTGCATTCAGTCCCTTCTTTGCCCTCTGTGCAGTGAACTAACATGCCACCGGTCTATAACAAGGAGCCTCAGGTAACGTTGTCACCTCACTGGTGCCATCTGCTGTTCAACAAGGGCAGTGCTGTTTAATCAGGATGTTTGGCAACATTTGGAATAAACCTACACACTTTAAATCCCTTCTAGTGATAAAGGTTGATACCCTTCATTTAAAGCAAAACAGGACAGCAATTCTAGTCTTCTTTTCTATTCAATTTTATTATGACAGTTGTTTTAAAGGGGTTGGCAATGAATCTGAGGGACTGTTTTTATTGCAACTGTACGAGTGTGGAGATGACATCGAGGTTGGTGTTATGAACATACAGTAGAAAATAAGCTGCATGACAAATATTCTGTACACATCCAAACAAAACCAGCAGGAGGCATACTAAATAACCAGCATCCAAAAAAACTTTTGTATGTAGGCGGAATATGTTGCTTGTTGTCCACTAAAGATGGTTTAATGTGCCTCACTTATATATATTGAATTTTGTTTTAAATCCCACTAGAAATGTTTGGTGAAACACTACGAATCAAACCTGTATCGATCACTAATAAAAGAGTTTCTTCCTCAGCTGTGCATGATGAACCTCCTCGGACACACAGTGAACAGTTGTGTACTTGTGTCTTCAGACTGTGGCTAGCAGTGATGTTAGATAGGGCTACTTCAAGCTCACTGAAAATGAAATTCAATGATGAATCGCGGTCTGACGTTTGTGAGGGCACCTTCACTCCCGTTCTGCTATGGCAACCAGGTGGGCTTCTACCTCTGCTTCCGTCAGCATCCTGCAGGAGGGAGACAAGAGGTGAGACAACAATAACCAGAGGAAAGAGGAATAAAACAAAGAGCAAGGAGTGAACAATGAGTGATGTACAGTGGATAATAGGACAATAATTTAAAATGCACCAAAACAACACAATCAAAACCAAAAATACGTGCAAGAGTAAAATATGTCAGCGTTTTAAACACGGTAAAAGATAATATCAATCACCGTTAGTGTCAATTCATCATAAAACTCCTGACTACTTGAAAGAATAACAGAAACCAGTCTGATCTTTTCTCTGAATATGCAGTTGGTGTAAGTGAAGTTACCTGAACTTAGGTTTGTCCTTGGTGACCACTCCGATCTCCAGCTCACTGGCCTTGAAGTCAATGGACAGGACGGAGGACAGACATGTTATAGCCAACTGGAGAGAAAGAAAGTTGAGTGTGCTGATTAGCTCAAACGCATTAACACTTCTCTAAATGTTCTTTTTAGTCAAGAAAACAGGAAACTCGAGCAGTGGATTCCAGGAAGTACATGCCTTTACTAAAACAAAATTACTCTATTTCAGCCTCCGAAGCCTTTAGAAGAATTTTGTCAGTTGAATTGGATTTAGTTGTTCAATACAAAGACTTGAGTATTCATTTCTCTTTTTTTTTCAGTTCAGTGCCACACTAAACACCTATATCAGTAGTTGCTGCTGTGCAAATGTGGCCACGGGTCTCGTGCTTTAGTGTGCGTGCTGCATTCATTTATAAATCCCAGTGCACCACGGAGACAAATCAATCAGTGGTTGGCAGCAGAGGAGGTTGTAGCACAGTGTGGTTCAAAAGAGGTTTGCTCACTGACAGTCAGCGCCAGAGCAGAGAGCGTCGGAGTCACGCTGCCCTACCTCGCGCTGTCCTCCGTTAACCATCTTTGCTTCCATCACACTTAGTTTTGTGGTTTGTGAAGTTTACAGCCTGCCATGCTTTCACTCTGTGTACAATGACGCAGCTAAAAAACAAAAGATATTCGACTGACAAAAAGCGAGTTAACGTGACTGATGATTTGAATCCTCCACTTTTCAGAGGCAGCCCTTTTTTATGTCAAGAAATACATAGCAAGAGGGCAGCTAAGGGTTCAGTGTCTCTCTATTACAGGAGGTCTGACAGGAGCCTTAATCAGGACCACTCTACCCTTTTCATCCCTGAACTATAAAAGAATCTGCGTCCTGCTCAGTAGTCCATCTTGTTTCCGCAGCTCTTGTCAACCAGGTTCCACTTTACCTGTACTGTCCTGTCGTGGGTCAGTTCAGGCTTTTTCTTCAGTTTCTTCTCCAGGTAGCTATTGGCCTCTGTTTGTTTGGCCCCGACCGCTGTGGCCCTGAAGCCACAGTAGTATCCTGCTGGGTCACATTTATACAGGACAGGACCCTGCTGGGGGTCCATAGCCACCAAGATCATACCTGCAGGAGAGCAGAAGAGGAGGAAGAGAAAGAACACACCACATCATTATAGGGAGGATGTCCTTTAAATTATATGATGATCCGTTACAGGTTCTTACTGCTGCTCAGTTCATTTTCATTTTTGCTTTCAGAAAATCAAGGAAATGCAAGTTTTGGGATATTGAGATGAATGTCAAGGGAACAATGTCCTGAGCAGTGAAGAGGCAGAAATCAAGATCCCTACTCACAGCAGCCTAGAGGCCTCATTTCGGCGTTTTGTGTGTACACCTGGGAGATATCGGCCAACCTACGACACAACACGTCCGCTGTGATGTCATAACCAAACTTATATTTCCATTCTCCTGCTTCCACTCGTGCCCGGTGAACCTGGGAGCGACTGTCCGCTGCACATGACAGAAGAAGGGGGACAGTGTAGCTTTTTAACAATGTTAAAATAATAAATATGATCTTTTAGACATAACTGTAGTTACAGTAAACATAGAAGTGTCACCAAGGCTAACAACAGATTATATAAACACAATGTTACACTGCTGTCTGTGAGCTGTGTATCATCCTTACATAAAGAAACAGAAAAGGCCATAAAAACAAAAGCTATCTTAACAACTGATATCCAAGTATCACAATTACTTGAACAATGATGTGTGTGTGTGTGTGTGTGTGTGTGTGTGTGAGCTGAATCCATACCATTGTGCCCAGTCATCACGCAGCCAATGCGAGGGGTTAGTTTGAAAATGTTGGTCACAGTGGAAGAGTCCAGCAGCTTGTCCTGCAGCCAGGAGAAGGACAGAGGTCACATCCAACTGACAAAATGATTATATTGGGAAATCTACTATATTAAAAAAGATAGTATTGGTTGTACAGATATCTCATGATATGTACAGATATCTCATGCTAATCAGAAAATTAACAGAATTTAACGAGCAAAACTAACTCAGTCATACTCCTTGAGTCGCTCGCTCACCAAACTGTGGCATTGTAGTACATTACTCCAATCAGTGATTATTCCTTAGGAGGAGCAGTCTCTATGTTCCTCCTCAGAGTCACTGCCCAGGCTGAGAGCCTCTCCACGGCTGCACTAGACGTCGCTGTGTCGAATTTCATGGATATTGTAGGGAAGCAGTTCACCTCTGACCCTGACTTCAAATATTCAATGAATTCAGTGTTGGAGTTGAATGAAGCTTTATCCTAGATAAATCCTAGTAACAACATTATTGTTTGCTAAGTAACTGTAATGTGATTACTGATTTGGCAACAGTCAGACAACTCATGTTTGAAATGTT